AATATTAATGCTTACACAGTTCATAGAATCGTCCCCACTTCATTCAGTTATCTTCACGGATCATAGAGAATTAATTAATAAAGTAAATCGAAATGAAGTCTGATCACAATATGTTACTACCTTGATGCTTATTAAAGGTGGGGTAGGTAATTCACTTCAGAAACACTTTTTGTTATATTCCATGGAATGCTCTTAACATCCCGATAACAATGAATATTAAATGGTTTAACAATAAATACATACAAATATTTCATCTGTGGAAGCTGTAGCGCTGTAAAAAGCACGTAGGATGGCCTACCTGCCTGTCAGCTTTCCATCTGTGCACAAACTTATCTCGTGCCCTCATTGGTCATGTGTGTGTTGGAGGAGGGGCTCTGTAAGGAAATCTGAAGGAAGGGGCAGATTTCTTTCGGCTGCGTACTTTCATATTCTAGCGCACTCAAGCTGGTTTCTCCATTCTTACCTACCTTTAAGTTCTGTTTTTTGTTTTGTTTGAGTTGTAATGTTAGACTCCAATATCTACCTTAAATATATACCCACATTGGGATATTTGTATATGTTGATATATTCCTCAAACATACTAGCATACACACCCAAACATTATTGTAAGCATGCCTATTCTGTCAACAGGTATAGACAGTCAGTTACAATGCTTATCTTAATGTGTGCTTTGAACTAAACTAACTAAGGTGACGTTTTATACCTTATTATTAGACTGATTTCTTTCAGCAGTTTCTTCAAAGGAACATGTTTAACACTTAATCTAATGTTTTGAAATGTGTGCTCTGCTTTCAACATCCCATTACTTTAGCAGTTCTCACAATATTTAAACTCCTCACATTCTCACATTAAATTTGAGACAAAAGACTTGTTTTGAATCTTCAAAAGAACGAAGCCATAAAACAGAGCCTTTGGGATTAGCAAGTAGAACAAAGACATACGACAAAGAGAATAAAGAAATGGTATAAACAGGTGAGAAAATGAGTGAAAAAGAACTGGAAAGGACAGCTTATTCCGTTTCTTTGTTTACTTTTCAGGTGAGCATACAGAGGGGCGCACAGTCAAACCATGACTCAAAAAAGAGAAAAGAGAAACACAGAAAAACACTATTGAATATTTGCAGATCGCCTCGCCGCACTGTGAATCTATGTGCTTGCTTTGTAGTTGTAGTTAAGTTTATATATGTTTTTCAATTCTCCACTGGATTTTTCAGCTTGATAATCACAGTGAACAGAGAGTTGGACGATGTATTGGTCATTGTAAAGGGTTTTTCTTTCTTTTCTCAGGAGTTTGTATGGTTGAGGTGCAGAATGCCTGCAGGAAAGGCATGTGGTCATCAGTTTTTGTGATTTCATGAAACAAAATGGAAAAGTATTGCAGTATGTAACAGTAATTCATATGAGGGTCATATAAAACGTTAATTAGGTCAAACATGCTTTAATACGGTTGCCCAACTAATCTGTAAACAGTCAACTACACTTAACACCTCCCTTACTGCCTCTGGACTTCATAGTCCTACCTCTCTGAGCTGTTACACAGCTACACGCCCACTTGCACTCTCAGGTGGGGACCGTGCTTTCTCTGCTGCCGCCCCTAAACTGTGGAACGACCTGCCCTTGCTAATCAGGCTCCCACACGGTCTGTTTTTAAATCTCGTCTTAAAACCCACCTCTTCTCCTTAGCATTCGTAAACAAGATTGTTGCTTTTATTTGCTTTCAGTGGTCTATTGTTTTTACTATATGGCTGTTTTTATTTTATTTTGTAATTGTTACGTTTATTCTGATTTGTTTTGTGTTCGTATCTTTTATGTGATTTTATACTTATTTTTATGTTTTGTGAGCTGAGCTGTGTGATTTTATATTGTATGTATCTCTCTGCACAGCACTTTGGTCTGGAGGTTTTAAAGTGCTTTATAAATAAAGTTGGATTGGATTAGATTGGATAGTGACATTCTTTACTCTGAAGTTCTTTACATTTTTAATGGTATAAGATACTATGTCTTAAGAAACATGACCTATTGTACTGTTATACATATACAGTATGTTTTAGCATTTTGTATGACATACTACACTAAGATTTTGCGAAAATAAACATGCTATATTGTAACATTTTCTTATGATTCATTTAATTTTACTATTTAATTTTGATATTTTCAGGATTTGTTTTACCTGGGTGACCATAGCTCAAATTCTCGCCCTCCTCCCTAACCTAGCCAGGGTCTAAGGCTATTATTATACCAAGGCTAATTGTGGCTGATGTCTGGTCAAATAAAAAATAAATTATGGATGAAAAAAGACTTCAGGCAAGGCCACCTCTTAACAGAAAGCAGACTCCATCATGGCATCACCGATCAAGGTATTGCACTGGCCAGGGGGACTGCAGGACAGAGTGAAGGACTTGAATGGGGGGGCCTCGGAGGGTGTTGGACTCTGTTGATGACCAATGCTTAGTTGATGTCCAAAATATGTCAAAATTGTAGCCCGGTGTTGTAGAAGGAGAATGATTAATGCTGAATCCTAGAAAACGTTGATTTTTTTGGAACTTTTTCTTTGTTTTGTTTTTTACATTTTCCATGATGTTCTGAAATCTGACATTTCATCCTATTAATATTTGTATATTTTCCATCCAGCGTATGTATTGTTTCGATATACTCTATGACTTTTTATTTATGATATAACACAGAGGGCAGAGAGTCTTCAGTCTAATCGAACAATAGCTTTATTACTCATCTCTGATACAAAGCAGTTATTCAGTGAATTCCCTTGTTGCAGTCCACATGCATGATAGTAACTATAAAGCCCAACACACACGCACATGTTCATGCATGTTCAAGTACATGTGTATGCTAAGAAGCTCTCAGAGTGCCAATGCCAGATATTAATTCAACACCTTTCTAATTAAACGTAATTGAGAATGCAGTTTAGTTCTGTGGGAACGTAATTTTTAGGAGACAGGGTTGACAGGCTGACGCTCCCGTTGATTGCAAACGCTCCTGTGGGTCGTATTATGGGTCGGAAAAATCGGCCTATTTGGTCGTATTAGTTGGAGGACTTGGTTGGTAAACCAGGATGGTAATTCAATTCGCTAATTTATTCAATCCATATTTCATTTGTTATTTGACAGGGGATCTGTCTGGATTCATTAACTGTGTGCTTCCTAAGCTACCATCTAAGATCTAAAAGGATATTGTAAGTTGCGAAACAAGAAATTATACATTGAGTTATGATACATCCTTATTTAAAAGATTGGGCTTCGGTGAAGAATAGTGGATAGATCATGGAACCAGATTTTAGGCCGAGAGTTCCCATAGACGTACGTAATGACATATCAATACATTTATATTGTATATAGGTACAATGGAAACGACAGCTAGCTGCTTGCCAGTTAAACACTGATTTATTGTTTACCCCCAACAAAGTACGCCATGCAAAAGTTTCCAGAAGGATGATAAACAATTGATTGAGAGGGAAACTGGACTTTAGGAAAAATGGTCAAAATAGGTCCAGGTGCCAAATGGTATAAATGTAACAAGAATAGAGTGGCTTTGCTTACAGCTAAGAGTGAATAAAGGCTGAGCTGTACTTGCTCAGAGGCTGTATCATTTCATTAGGTTGGGCCCTTTTATTATTTAGTATACTCTTGTATATGCATTTAAACCAGTGAGATCATATATAATTCACAGTCGAATAGGTATTAGGTATAACCGGGGTATAAAAAAGGAGATACTTAAGTACCGCCATCACCTACTGTGTTATATTATTCATCTTTCATGGAACAATGCTTTGGGTTTAGACCCCCTCTGCTGGCTGCACATACTTATTACAAAAACACTATTTACCAGACAAATTCATATAAGTTAAGAGAATGACATACATTACCTCAATTTACAGTATAATATATACATAAGTACTGGCTTTTTTGTCAGCTGTAGCCTACTTTCTTTTTGGTAGGTGTCTACTCAGTTTAGCCTCGACAGTGTTAGCAATATGACACCTTCTCTATTATCTCTTGATAACAACGTTTTTGAAATAGCAAACACACTAACTGAATGATGCTAATTATCTGATAAAATCAATGATTGCATTGCAGTCCCACCTTGCAGAGTTACCCTGAGTTTCCTTTATAAATTCATCACTGTCACCTCCTTATCAATATGCACACTGAGATCCCACAAGACGTTTCAAGGGTATGTCAACCTTTTTTCCTTAGTGTTGGACAAGTGAGCTTTACAGGATATTGTCTGCAGCATGACCACACATTAACCTTCCGAATTTAATTACTCGATGGACTAGTCTGGCTTTCTGTCTTAGTCATTATAATCTTCCAATTTCCAATGTTTTGACCTATTAACACATGGGGCTTTTGAGTTAGAACCCCAGTGGCGTAATGACAGTGATACGCACATTGAAATATGGATGTCTTTTACTAATTATCTGTTAGAGTCATGAGAATTGAGCTGTTAGGTTCACATTAACACAGTATTGAGCTTTATTTGGGCAACTGTGGCTGCGAGGGAGTGCGGTCGTTTTCAAACAGAAGGTTGTGGGTTCAATCCCCGGCAGTGCAGTCAACATGTCGATGTATCCTTGGGCAAGATACTTAACCCTTAGTTGCTCCTGAATGAGGTGTGAATTACTCGTAGTGTGTAAAGCGCTTTGAGGGGTTGAAAACACCTGATAAAGCACTTTATAAGAACAGTCCATTTATTTATGTAACATCTTATTGTACGAGGTCATTTACCTTGTGGTATTTTTTCCATTTAATCTTTTAACAACATCCAATTCTTGTTTGGCAGACTTTGGCACTAAACTTCGGTAATTTGCAGTTCCCCTTTCTTATTCAGTATACTCTTCATAATTAGCTACGGTTTATAAATCAAATGTATAATAATATAGCCTCTATTGGTTTAAAGTCATCTTAAAAAGTCAAAGTGAATTCAAAAGACTTGAAGGATGGAACTGGTATAATACATTTTCTTAAAAAGACAATTGATACAACATTTAGGATGTCAATATTGTTTTATTTAATATTTGTTCCTATTTTTCTGCAGTGCTCATAGAGCTAGTAAAAAAAGCTTTTGTCCCACAAACAACACATACATATTTGATGAATAAATAGATTCACAAGTTATTGATCCCAGTTACCCACACATTCATTGCTTCCTATGCTCATTAGGAATACATAGTGAACAATCACAAAAGCAACATTTCCTTACATACACATGTTGTGGAAAGAGCCTCGCCAGAGACTGAAAAAGAAACAGAAAACTTGATCTGGTGAAGGCAAACCGTATCCATGATTGCAAATGAAAGCAATATCCTTGAGCATAATTATTATCCTGTAAGCGAGACGTTTAATGTTTGGAAAATGAATATTTTCATTAGTTTTAACTCTCTCCAGTATTTATCTTCATTTGCTGCGTTACTGGAGGCTGTAGTGGACGCTCAGCTTCACTGCTGGTATAGATTTGTCTTATCTTCATTATATATGTACAGTATGGGTTCAGTCAGATTCATTAATGCATACACATGTAGAAACCTGGAGAGAATTAAATCTGGAAGCCACTTAAAGCTGCAACCAGTGGCCTATTTCGAATCATACTTTTAAAATAAAGCCTGTCGCAACAGTATGATGCATCCTTCCCCTGACACACTTAAACTTAAAATTAAGCTTATGTTACAAAGATCAGAGACAATACAAAAGTGAAGAACCAACCAAAGCGAAAAGGTGCTCTTGTATTGCTTAACATACCCACATGACCTTCAGACCTTCGTGTTGTAAAGAAGCATCAGGGAAAGAGATCAACCAAACTTCCTGTGTTTCTTTAGCAAGTAACAATATGGCATTTATAGGAGAAATATAATTTCACAGGTAAGTCTTTTTTTGGTTCCAGTGTTACAATTTAGGATTCCAGTTTTACAGGAACCCCACTGGAATTTGACACATTGCAGAACCACTGTGCACTAAAGATGCACATTCACACGGAAAATGTTTGTTACATTCACAGAAGTTCAGCTTCATCATCATCATTCTCAGAGCCTGAGGGTCCCTGGCGAACTTCTTCGTACCACTTGTTGGTCAGCGTCTTCATCTGGATCCGGCCATGTAACAGGTCCTGTGAGACACACATTACACATAGAGCCCTTCAGCACTAGACAACTTGGTGAAGCTCTAAAATGTCTGGTTTTCTTCATATTTTGAGGTATGATTCAACATTAAATATATTTGAGGTATTAAGGAAAATTCAAAATATCTCTTCTTGCAAAATGGCATAATTTTGCACTTTTGAAAAATGTAAAACTGTGAATCTTAAATTACAATTTCTGTAACACAAGGTAACAATATTAAACTAATTACCAATGGTATCCAGTATGTACCCTTCAGCAGAGGTTTGATAATCACCATTTTACAAGTGACTTTTAGACTATAGAAAATGAACTGAGGTGAAGTATATAACTTGGCCTACAGAAAATTACACCTTTTGTCACCACAATGATGCACAATGCTTTTACAGTGAAAGAGGTATAGTAAATGAAATGTGTTTGACCCCACGTTTCAAGAGGGAACCGCTGTAGTTTGTGCGATATGGTCAGAAAATCCGTTTTTTTACATTACAAGAAGGCCTCATCAACATACATCGTCACTCAGGATTTTACACCTGCTTTTCCCAGACATTATATTTCAGATGGAGACAGTGACCAGTCCGAAGGTGCAGGGTGCAAAACATATACTTGCAGTTATGTAATCGTTGATTGCCTTAACAAGGGCCACAAATAGTTAACTAACCCTGTATGGCTTAAAACATTTGAAGTGAACTGAATCACCACCTGTCATAGTCTAAAAAGCCCAAAGACAACAGTGAGCTTAATCAAATTGGCAGTTATGTGATTGATATATTGTGAAGCTTTTCTGTTTATGGGATGTCAAACAAAAGGACTGAAAGAAAACCAGTATGGGAACAACTAATGTATGTTTGGGAAAGGGACTTAGAAGATGTCTGTCTCTCTCACACTTACCTCTTGAGTGAGCCTGCGAGTGAAGAAGGGGTTAAGGTATTTAGCATCTAGCCACATAAAGCCCTTCAGATCTTGCCTCTGGTAGATATGCGCCTCGTACTCCTCCTCTGTTAGTTCAGAAAGGTGCTCGGATTCAATGGTATTACCCTGGAGAGAAATAAGGGAGAGAGGGAAAGTCAGATGAATAGAAAAAGATAGAGGGAAGTGAGAGGAGAGTGGCCAACGAATGAGGTTAGGGTTAAAAGAGATGGAGGAGAGGAAGTCCACTGCAGGGGAAAGTCAAAAGGACAGAGAAGTCGTGAGGGTGATGGAGTTGAGATGATCACACACTGAAGGACCAGAGATGAGGGGGGAAGAGCCGAGGGAGCGAATTACATCAAAGAGGGATTGAGAGCCTAAAGGAACATCAGAGGGCTGATAGATGTAGTACCTGGTAGCCCAGGAATAACACTTAGCTTTGGAGGACATCAAATACTGTACATTGTATGCCACCAATGACCTCCAATACAAGATGTACTTTAGAAGAGACCTTATGCCAAGAGTTAGAGCCTATAGAGCCAAATATAATACACCCAATTGTACGGTTCTTCTGGGAAATTGTAATAATGAGAGCTGTTAGAGCTTAATGATGCTTGTCTGAGTTGTGCGGCGACTAAGTGTAAAACTGTGAGACAAGAGTGGTTTGCTGATTCAGTGTCCTTCTTACAAACCACAATCAACCCTCTGATGTTTTCCCCTTTGAAGAGAACATAAGGGACTGGTTGTGGAAGAGGGAATGGCCAAACTGGTATCAAAGCAGGCAACAAACAGGCAACAAACAGACTGTTATAGTGAAACATATGTCTTTCATCTTTTACCATTTTCTTCGTCTTGCTGAGATTGATGTCTTTCTTGTTCTTACGCCGCGACTTGCTTTCCTCGATGTCCATGATGCGAATGAGTGGCATGGTCCCGCCCCCCATGAGGAGGATGGTGAAGAGAACAATGATGATGGTGGTGGTGCCAATAAGCTGCCTTTTCTCAATTGGCTCCAGGCCCAAATGGAGGCTCAAGGCGTAAGGGATGGCACCTCGCAAACCTGCCAGACCAGGAAAGAGACGAAAGAACGGGACTATGAGAAGACATACTTGACTGTAAATCATTTTGTAAATATATCCGGACAATAGTATGATGGACATGTTTTAATCTATTTATTTTTTAGAAAATGTTAAAAGCTGCAAATAGCTATTATTGTCTTTATTGATTGACTGATTCTTACCTCTAATGATTGATTGATTCATTTGTCCATATAATGTCAAAAATAGTGACAAATGCTAATTTGACCATGTCTCATAATAAGAGAGTCGGTGTGTCTGCTAAATGACAATAAAACAATTAACCCACTATCAAAAATAGTTGCAGATTTAGTTTTTATGACAGTAGTTTTATTAAATAATAGACCAGTTGTTTCATCCCTAGACTACTTAGCTCTGGAGCAGGTGCATCGAAACATTTTTCACTGAAGGCCACATACAGAAAAACATTAGAAGGGCTGGGAGAGAGGATGTATTTCAATCTTGTTATGCAAATACGTTATTGGGGCTTTTTTTTTTATCAACTAAGATTAGTTGGAAAATGTTTTCAACTTTAATTGACTGAATTTATTTGAAAATCAGGCATATTAAAGGTGGGGTAGGTAAGTTTGAGAAACCGGCTCGAGATACACTTTTTGTTATATTCCATGGAATGCTCTTAACATCCCGATAGCAATGAATATCTTAAAAAATCCATACAAAAATGTCATCTGTGGAAGCCGTGTACTGTAAAAAGCCGGCCCGGCTAAAATAACTGGATGGCCTACCAGCCTGTCAGCCTTCCATCTGTGCACAAACTTATCTCGTGCCCTCATTGGTCATGTGCGCGTTCGTGTGTGTTGGAGGAGGGCCTCTGTAAGGAAGTGGCAGATTTTTTCCGGCTGTGTATTTTCAAATTCTAGCGCACTCGAGCTGGTTTCTCCAAAATTACCTACCCCACCTTTAACACTTGAATACTGTGCAATATATATGTACATATTTAAGAATATAAAACAAGCACAATTTTCATGTTTGGGTAAAATACTTTAGATATTTTGTGGGCCAATTAAAAATGGACCACGGGCTGCAGTTGGCCCCCGGCCGTAGTTTGGACACCCCTGCTCTAGAGACATGCACAATATATTAGGGCAGTGATCAAAGCTTAGACAAAACTAACAAAGAGCTGAATGTTGGTTGTTTTTGTGACATGTTAGACAAAAGGCTCATCTCACCACTAAACCACATGATGAACATCATTTTGGGAGTGATCTTGTGATCTCTGAAGAAGTTGAGCAGGAATGACAGAGGGAAGATGTTTATTGCTCGGCCTAGAAGAACCAGGACCTAGAGAGAGAACAAGAGCTGTCACTGACATTCATGGGGATTATCACCAGGAACAAAACAACATCAGCATTCAAATAATGTTCCAAAACGAAAGGGCACTTACTATGCACCAGACGACGAAGGATATTTCAAAGTTATGAGGGAAGCTGAAGATGGAGAGACCGAGGAAGGCAAACACACACGTTTCTGGAAAGAGAAAACATTTAAAATAGTGGTGAGTTTTTATTGTAAAATGAAAACAAAGGGGAAGGTGGGGAAAAGGGTTTATTCCCATTTCGCCCCTTCCCATTCTGCCCCTTTCCCATTTCCCATTTCACCCCTTCCCATTCCGCCCCCTGTCCCATTCCGCCCCAACAACAGCCTCTGATTCGTCAACAGACTTCATGCAATGCTTCATGGGATGTATCATTAGATCTATAAACTCTAACCATAACCCTAACCCTAAGACCCACGACCAAGCGAAACAAGTATAATTTCTTATGTGGCCTAATGTAAACAAGGGGCGAAGTGGCAATGGAGCGAAGTGGGAAGGGGCGAAATGGGAATAATTTAGGGGCGAATTGGGAAGGGGCGAAACGGGAAGGGGCGAAACGGGAAGACACCGGGGAAAAGACTAAATTGACTGACCACACATGAAGGCCATTGTGCGCAGTGTCTGCTGCATGAGGATCTGGGTGACAGGAGACAAGTTGTGATGGGTGTAGTGAGACATCACGATTCCCGCAAACAGGATGGACATTATTCCTGGAGGTGGAGAGAAAGAAAGACATTTAAAATAGTTGTATAAAGTCAAATATAAGAATCTCTAGCGTGCATGGAAGAGTATGATACACCCACCAGACAGTTTGATGCCTTCTGCCAGTCCATAGGGAAGGTACGCAAAGATTATCATCATACCAAACTCCAGTGAAGGAGTCTTCCTCAGATCGAAGTGTTTTAGAAACTAATCAGTAAGTTAAGAAATGTAAACAACATGAAAACAGACAGAGTTTAACACATAACATAAATACACTAAAGGACTCAGGATACAATAGCCGAGATGAGTCCAGTGAGGGTTCCCAGAGCAGCAGAACCAAAAAACATTTTGAGGAAATAACCCAACGCTTGTAAGAAAGTCTCCCAGCCTGTTACTGTGGAGTTGTCTGAGCCGGAAAAAAATCCCTCCGCCGTGCTGAAAGACAAAAGAGAGGAAAACAAATCAAGCCACAATATCAGTTACACATCCTGAGCTGTGATACCTCTATCTGACCCTAGAGGGCGGAACAACTCCACAATTGAATACTACAAACTCACAACTCTGAGAGATTGTGTGTGAGATCAGAGTTTCTGCAGAATGTGTAATCAAAATCCTGTTTGGTAAACAGAGGTCAGCTGTATTGTATCAGCTCAGTGAATCAACAAGAAGAGTGACAAAATATTTTATAACTATTTTTCTTTTTGTATTGCTCTTGCTATCTGTATTGTTATTATGTTGCATTGTTGGAGAAGCCTGTGACATAAGATTTTCAACAACATAATTACTCTGTAGCTATGTCAGTTTGACAATAAAGAACCTTGAACCTTGAGGAAGGAACTTATTGTGACATTTGGCGATATAAAATGCCATCTGAGCGACAGTCATTTGTTTTTAGAACGTTAAACATACATTTTCAAGGGTAAGGTGACTTTAAGCAACATGTAGACACATTAATGCCCAACAATAACTTAACATCTTTAATATGTTTCTTAGCAGTTAAAGCTGTCTATCAAGTTTATTCTTTGTACTCTAACGTAATTGGGTGGAAATGATTTATCAGCATGATTTCATCCTAAAAATAATAATGGATGTGTTGAAGTTATTCTGCAGTAGGAATGTAGACAATCAATTTAATTATACAGTACAATCATTTTCTAATATCATTTATACAGACAAACAAACAGGCAACACGATAATCTGATTTTAATGCTTATTAACAAGCTCCCAAACAAAGGCATTAGCTGCGTGGCTCCTATAAACGACTAGGGCAAATTGTTAAGTAGCTTTTAATAAAACCAGCCTGTGAGGTGCTAACAAGCAAACTGCCAGGGCTGTGCGGCCTTTCCATTATTCATGTAGTCATTTACTCCATGCGGGAATACAGACACTTGAGATCACTTTGCACATTTAGCCGATTGTGAGTAGGGTAGATAACGCAACTGTATGGTGAGTACAGAGTGAGCAGATAGGATCGCAGTGATGTAGACAAACAAGAGAGACCTGTCAACTGTCTGTTCCTGTCAAACTTGTCTGACAAGATTTCGAGGGTTGTCAATTACGACACCTATTTTGTTGACACAAACAATCTTTATAAACAATTCTGAGAGTGAGTCACTAAATTGCCTCCTATGATGACCGAAAGTTTCCTAACACTAAACATACGGGCAGCAAAGGGACATATGCTTTTCATTCCTGCAGGCTTCCTCACTGATTGCACACAGGTGTGTGTTCCAAGATGGCAGCACGTTGATTTGTTTCTGTCACGGGGTGTTTCTCTATAGGCGCGTTCACACCGCAGTACTTTTCCCACTTTAGTTCCGATATAGTTCCGAAATGTTGCGTTCACACCAAAAAAATCCGGAACTAAAATGAGTTCATGAGAACCTTTTTACCCCCTTTTCAGTCCCTGCTAGAGAGCAGGTACTTTCGTGGGAGAAAAAGGTTCCTATGTCTGATTGGCTGGGCGGATTGCAAACCACGCCCCGTAAAACTCCCAAAAAGTGAAGCCGCCATTTTGGCATTATTAGCATTAGCATTAGCATTATTAGCATTAGCATTAGCTCAGCGCACAAACGCAGAGAGACTAACTTATGGCAACACAAAAGAAAACATGGGAGCGGTGGAGATGAGGAGGTGTCGGCGTTCTGGCGATTTACTCGGAAGGCTTCAGTAGAAGCTGCTGGGAGTCCCAGCAGCTTCTACTGAAGCCAGTCCCCAACTCCGGGGACTTCCGGCCGGGGACTTCGGGTGGCAGTATACGCCGTGAAGTTGTTTGCGGCCTGCCAGTAAACCCAAAGCAGAAGAAGAAGAAGTGACGTCAGCGGCTTCATTTGCCTAATCCTCCTCCAGGGACTTATTCCGGTGTGAACGCGATCTGTACTTAATTCATGAGAACTAAAGAGTTCTCATGAACTAAGTTCTGATTAACCTTTGTGGGAAAAGTACTGCGGTGTGAAAGCGCCTAATGTCGAGTAAAGCTGCTCCAGAGCCACTATTATACTACGCATACTACGTCATTGAGTGCCGCCGAAGGAATTAGCCGCTTTCAATTTTCCCTGTTGTTCCCTCAGCCACCAGAAAACAGCTCCAGCAGCAGTACCCCGGGAAGCCCTCTTCGGAGTAAAAACCCTCCAAGATTCCTCGCCGTCCACTTCCCCGGTAGCCTGTGCCAACGTCCTTATTAAGATGGTCGCATTGAAAGCACCCGGTTTCATTAAACAAATAGGCTAACAGTTGGTTTTGCAGCGAGTCATCATAGGCTAACAGATGACTGTTTCCCTGTAAGACTCACATTTAGCACGTGTTGCTTGTATTGCTGTCCAATTGAATACACCAGAATAGTTGTTAACTTTAAACAAACAACATGATTCACATTACTCACACTCTTACTGTAATTAGTGATTACATCAACAATTAATGTAGGACACCTAGTTGAGCTAGCCAAAATCACGCTACAGTTTCACAAAACAAATAATCAAATATGCTAACAGTTTATTTTGCCGAAAGCTATAGCTAACGAATAATTGTTTTTAGTGCCTTTAATACGGTTAGAAGCTATCATAAGCTAACAGATGTTTGTTTGTATTGCCTTAAGACTATCATAGTTAACTTTAGCTAATCACACTTCATTTCAAGACACCGGAATTGTTATTAATGTTAAACAAATAAAACTTTAAAAGCACTTCACATTACTCACACTCTGTGCTTTGTCGTTCATATTCATGTCTCCTGCTCGCCAGGTGGCAGTGTCACGAAAAACTAGGGTCCTAGGAATGCGGTCCCAGGAGTGCGGTCCTGAGACTGCAGTCTCCGATGCTGCAGCTTCAAGCTACTCGGAAAACCTGCTTATTAAAGGTTTTGCCTGTCCCTTTAACTAGGCTTTAAAATAGAACATTATTTGTGTTCGTCTTAAACCCACAGTTAAGGGAAATGTAACTTTGTTTTGCTACCACCCCTTCTATTTTTGCTCCTTTTGTTCTGAAAGCAATATTTCACTGCCTTTTTAACCCATACCGAGACCACGTTTGACCAGGTCTGTCAAAGAACATACCAAACCAAAAGTACATGTAGAATGTGTAATACTTGTGTACTTTTCATGGTTTCTGTTTGACCCATTTATAATATAATAATATTTAGTCTGGAAAAAGGAGTCTTTTTTATTATGGTCCTTGGTCTTGGAATGACCTTCAATCAATCCTAAAACTGAGGGCACTTGTCTCAATAGCATGTTTTCAATTGAAGTTGTCTGAAGTCTTTACCACCAGCTGCTCTTGCAGTAATAAGTAGTGTACCTTTCTTACTGAAAGGTACACTACTGCACAATGTAGTGACTGCTTTTTCGTCTTTTGTTTTCTTAGTTATGTTCTCTGTATTTTATATGTTTGTGTTATGTGTAACGTTGCTGCCTTCTTGGCCAGGTCAGCATTGTAAATGAGATTTTATCTCAATGCTTTTTTATCTGGTTAAATAAAAAATGTCTTTCCCTCATTACTGGAGGTTTCAGGTATTACACCGATACTGTGAAAGCATTCCAACAACAATCCTCATCTGTGAAGATTAGTCGGATAACTGTGTGAGTCCCAGCTTTTGGACTTTACATTCAGCACATTTTGACACACTGGTACCCACATTCTCTGCATTTGTAAACTATGGGGATAAAATAGGTCACTGGTTCTTTTCTCATCTCAAGTCCTGTCAGGGCCAATCAGCATTAAGCAGGTGGGGTTAAAAGGTTGGATTATGCCTCATTGCACCTCAGCTGACAGAAGAACAGGTATGTCAATGTTTGGCATACCTGTGGTATGTGGTGGTTCCTGCATCGAAGCAGATAATCGCACCTTGAGGTTAATATACAGTCACAGTGGGTGATGAAATAAAGATTACAAATATTAAAAAATCTTGAAGACCATCGCCATATTTCTTCATGCTGCTTTTTAGGGATTTCTTTCAACTCCAAATACTTTGAAACGGACTGCATAGGGAACTTTAGGGACAATTTAGTTTTAGTTTTTTTAAATAGTATATTTGTCTCGTTAGAGTTGCTGATAGTGAAAAGCCGTGTAAATATCATGCATGGGCAAATTTGCAGAGGTTTTACCCCGTAGAATAAACAAACACTGAGGAAGGAGAAAGAGACTCTTACTTCGTGAGGACAATGGAGACAGCGTCATTGAGGATGCTCTCTCCAAACACCAGCATTTGGAGGACCGGGTCAACATCCAGGGCGTTAAAGATGGCGATGGTCGCCACGGGGTCCACAGCTGAGATCAGTGAGCCGAAGGCAAAGCTACAGCAAGAGAGTGGAAGTGTGTTATTCAGGAGCAATAAGACATGAACATAAGAATTAAGAAACAAACACACATGGGCAACAAAGGGACAAAATCTGTAAGTGCACGAGGTCAGAAGGATGCAGACAGGATATGCATCACAAACAAAGAAGCACATGTTTTTACTCAGGCAGCTCAGACCTACAATTTGTTATTTTTACAATTGCAATAATGTTGGAGAATACTTAAATCCTGTCTCAGAATATTAGGTCTTTGTACAAGGGTGGAAGTCTCATGTAATGTCTGTGTAAAATGGCAACAACAACAACAAAATGTTATTATAAATACTCTACTATACTTTATTGTTATTTTTTATTTGTATATGTGCAAAAAATAAAACTAGACTTTATGTCAAGCACACAATTTGGATTAAATTACTGTTAAATGCCAGAAAATGCACAAAATCTGAGTGGGCAAAAATAAGTGTAGGTGTAGTGTTGAAACAAGAAATCCCCTCCAAATAAAGAGGAAAAAAAACGGAAAGAATTTACATTTGGCTCATGGTCTGGGTCCCCTACAAATGTTATTCAAATGGGTTAAGCAGTTTTCATGCTTACAAACACAAACAGAGAGACAAATGGGACTGGAAACCTCCTAGAGGAAATGAAAAGGGAAAAGCCCTGCTTGAACCCAAGACACACAGTAACACACTGACTGTGTATCGATGAAGATAAACACATGTGATCATTAAACAAACCCAACAAAAACACATGGGCGGGGCGTGGCACACTGCTTGTGTTACAGTCATCTCTGGCAGCTGGATCATTTTATCCAGCTGCCTGGAACTGAACGAGTCCGTGGGTGTTGCTGTTGTGAAATACTTATATCCAATTTCCCTTGAAGTCATTTGAACAAAAAGATGTTCTAATGTAAAAAGCCTGGCAGTACAAAAGTTGAATCCATAGAGACTTTATAATTATTGTTATAAAGGAATGCAAGTTGAAAGGGAACACTAACACTCACCTATCAGTCATTGACATCTTATAGATCACACCAGCCTGAGAAAATCACAGACACACATTTCAGAGTGGCAACAAAGAGCTCTGGTATGTTAACACAGAGCAAGAAACATTCTGAACAATGTAAAGATACTAGGGGCCATTTGCACCTTCACACTGTATTAACACACATTTTATTTAGCGTCAACAGGTTCAAACTCTTTCTCTGAACAGGCCCTGAGTTGTTGACTGAGGCCCCGGCCCCACGGGAACGAATACGGCAAAACGCATAGGATTAACGCAAACGCAATCGCCAAAAAGCTTTCGTCCACACGCAATATACACCGGATAGTGTCTGTTCACACGAGACAGCTCCGTTTAGATCCAACCGCTGGAAAAGCTGCAGTACATATGCCGAGCCTGTATGTGGCGCTGTAACTTCCTCCACAAAAGCAGCGAAGAAGAATGGTTGTCATGGCTGCACTTCTGTTTATTCTCCGCGGTGGGGGCCGAGGGAACCGGGCAGAGTTTTTCGCCGGTCAACGTGTGTTAAAGTTTAAATCTTCCGGACAAAATTATAAAAGTGCCGGTCAAAGGTCTTCATTGTTATTTATTGAGCTTTAAAACAAATGAATAACGACGATATAATGATATATAATCATAAAATACACGGAGCCTGGCCTCTCTTTTTCCTCTCTTCTGACAGTGTCAGTGTCTGTTTCATGCAGCAGCTGATCCAGTAATGAGTGACCCGACAGTAAAAATAAACATATTTATAACTAGTTTAGGTAGTTTGAGAGGTCATTAAAATAGCTAAGGGTGATGATCTGACTTGAAGTGTGTGTTTTGCTCCGAGCTGCGTGTCTCCGTCCTGTCAGATTAGACTTCGCTCGCGTTTATGTCCATATCGAGAGAAAGATAAATAATCTGAATTCAGTGTGCAGTTTACTTTTGCGGGGGTGAGCAGCAGAGGTGGGGGGAGGCAGTGCTATTGCGTCATCATTATCACAAAATGATCGTATAGAGGCGATCACATGGAGCCGTTGGACCCCCCAGAGCGCTCCTTTCCCAGATCTATCCACCTTTGGACCCGTTGTCGTTTGCGGGGTCCGTTTCTATCGTTTCGTTACGGCCTCGTGTGGCAAAAAGGGCTATACGCAAGAGAAATATGCGGATACAACCCGTTTTCGTTCCCGTGGGGCCGGGGCCTGATACAAACACAATCCTCACCTGCCCAAGGAAATAGATCCCTCCTCCGACGATGAAGGCAGAGATGGCCGTGCCGAGCACAGCAAAGAGCGTGATGGAGCCAATGTTCTGGAAGAAGTTACCCTGAACATACATGGACACAAAGCTCAAGTATTCATAAGCTTCAGTAGCATGACATTTACATAACATGGTGTATAACATGTGGCAAGCAGTCAAATGAAAAGTAGGGCAGAGTACATGTACAGAGAAAAAAACACAATTTCATTTTTGAATAATGTAACAGAATGTATCTATAAATAATCTAATCTAATAAATAATCAAATGGTATGAGCCACCTTTTTGCATTTGCCAATTAGTTTCAAACCTCAGATATGATTATATATAACAATTGTGACAGAGCATATCTGAAAGAGAGCAGAGTTTCATAGCATAGCCATTGCTGCAATAATCAAAAGCACTTTAAACGTTTGAGTGTGTTATTATTTCTTAAGTGACTTATTGGTGGTATGATTCTTTCTCTACATATTTGTATATCATTCACTTTTGCAATTGTTAGCCAATTGATCTTGGATAGGAAATAAATACCAACGTTATGTTACATGCATACACTGGTTTGCACTGTTAAGTACATCACATGCATAACATGTCATTCCTTCTTTTATATCTTGACAGTATAAATAAATACCTTATGTAAAGAGTATCCCGATTCAAAGATGATGGGCGGAAGGAGCAGAAGGAAGAACATGTTTGGTCGGAACATTTCCTCTTCCTTAAAAAATAAAATAGAGACAAAGTTACATACAATAGCAGTCAAGGTCAGGTGACAGACCAGTGATTCTAACCTTGGCTTGTCAAATAGTAACAAGGGAAATTGCCAAGTACAGCTAGCTGAGAGCTGCGTGTAGCAAAAACATTCAATAATCATTTCAGATTAAATACATTTCAAAGTGCTGTGTACAGTGAACATTTAAATTAAAGAATTTACTTATTTATAAAAGGATTTGTCAGCATTTTTTATTCATCTTTAAATGAGCCTACAATTCTAAAGCAAATAGGTACTGTTTTATACAAAGAAATTGTGAGTGTGAGTGTGTGTGAGTGTGTGTGTGTGTGAGGGTGTGTGTGTGAATAATAAATCATGTGCTTGTGGTTATTATGCAATCCTCTACAAACATTTCCTACTATTCATTCTTCTAATGCATTCCGGTTCAGTGATAATCAGCTGACTTAATACGTAGTCACTGAAGAGGGGAAAGGGTGACGAGGGAGGCCGTGCCTGAGGTGTTTGTAACAGCCCTTCATCTGACAAAACAAATATGGGGGTTGACTTCAGGATGACAAACAAACACGTCCTGTGCTCTTCACAGGAGATGCCTGTCTGCCAGCCCATTCATGCATTAAAACATTACTACTACTGACATGGTCCTTCTAGCACACATGCTGTATAAGGACATATGGATACTTACACACACATACACGCACACAGAGCAACCCCTGCACGCTGATTATTTCAGCGATATAATGAAATCATTGTTGCTTTCAGCTAAATGGACCAGCCTCCAAGATCAGGCGTAGGCATCATGTGGCCAAGCATTATGCTCTGGCTGCCCATGTGTCTGTGCATGATGCGCCATGTGTTCAAAGCCAGTGTGTGCGTGCGTGCGTGCGTGCGTGCGTGCGTGACTGTATTCTGTGCATTATCTATGTCAGTAATGTAAAAGTAAATGTACTGTATGCATTAATGAATGTTCATAGGGAAGATCTATTTATGGGCTATGGTTGACCCTGCAGTTGTGTCTGTCAGGCAGATAGAAAAGGGTCATCCCATATTTGCTCCATCCAGTCAACAATCTCTTTTACTGTATTATGGAACTCAGCTTTGACAGCTGGTTGGGCCTGACTCTCGACCCCAATAACTCGACAAGCAGATGAAGACAATTACTTCCCAAACAGAATCGTTTTTGATTACTCTAAACACTGCAAATATATGATTTGCTAATAACTGTCTTCTGTCAAGCACAGTTGTGTTTTCAAGTATCATTGTTGTACTTTATTTATATATATGACATATGATTGGTGAAAGTAACTGTTCAGAAAGGGCAGTGCTAGATAACATGACTAATTGCAGGATCCTCTGCATTTATAAACATATTCTTTTCCATCTAACTCATTATTCTGGGCTATGACCCAGATATGCATGATACGATTGGCACATGAGATGAGACAATACCACAGCATATGTCTCAATTGAAGACCATACTGCAATTTGTGGCTGTCAGGATGTTTTACTTGCTCTAATGATGCATTTGACAACACCAACCAACACTATACACTCAATATAAACTCAGGTAAAGAGGACAGCCTACACCAGGTGTAAGCTGGAGTAAATCGTTTTGCTTTAGCTTACTTTGCCTTATTATGCATTCAAATTTCAGGCAAGGTAGGTCAGAAGGCACTGCTCCCATATTATCACTCTTTGACATTTATCTCTGGCCAAACTCTACCCTTCAGGGCAGATAAAAGGTCAGGAATGAATATTACCACCTGAGACACAAGAGATATACCATGCATGCTCTGCCATTTGACATCTACAGCTGTACTTCCGCATGAATGCCTGCATGTCCCTGACTGAACAAGCACACACAGACTTTGCATATGCACATCTACATCTAGATTTAAATAAGCAGATGTCAGCAAGCTAGTGCTTTGCCGTATTTGTCGATAAGAGCTTTAGTAGGGCTTCAATTATTGGTCAAAGTTATTTTGAACAAATGTATAACTGATTAATGATTCAGTCATTGAAACAAGCCCAAGGTAAACAAATCCAATTGGTTGTTGTGCTAGCCAAGCAGTCCAACAATGTTTACTTTGCAAAAACAAAGAAAAGCAGCAAATCCTAACAGTTACTAAGTAAAAAACTGCAAATATTTGCAACTTCAATAATTTATCAATTATTAAATGTACTAAATACTGTTGATTAGCTAATCGACTCGGCGCTAGATTTTAGTTCAGAATGCATAACATTGATGTCATTGTGAAACCATGAGAAATTATGTTTTCTGGGAAGGCAACTCATCATCTTGCTGATTTGAGAGCAAGTAAGATGAGATAGATAAACCCAGAGTAGAGGATGGGCATACTCTAGGGAAGTGCCAAGACAGAGCTTGAACTAAATTAGAAAAGATGAATGCCAAAGATGAAGAGAGCACAGTTAAAAGAGGGTCTAGAGAGAACAGAATATGAACGGGAGTGACGGGGAGGCCTTCGTTGGAAGTACAGGCTCCCTGGGGGCTCAGCTTTGACACACAGTGACATCACCACATGGGAAAAAGGCCCCTGAAACCACAATTAAAACGGTTCCCCCTGTGACGCTCTCTACGGCGTGGGAGAAATCTATTACAAGTGCGTGCTACCCCTTTGGGGATTTAAACACACCAATGCTGCCACTGAGGAGAAATGAAGCAACATAATACAGTGCAGAGAGAAAATTAAATGATTATCTGGAGTACACTGTAGATGAAAGTATAATAACCTATGTATATCTGTCTGTGCCCTGCCTAAGAGAGAAAATGCTTCTAGTGTGTTACTTCTTACTAGCATCAGTGTTTCCCCTACCATTGTCTTGGAGGGGCGCTGAAATTCAAGGTGTTTTAAAAGAAAAAAGAAAAAAATATTTATTTTTATTTTTATATATATATGTATATAGCACCAAATTGCAACGAATCTATATCTACTGTCACTTTTCACATTGAACATGTGCTCTTTTATTAAATAAACGAAACGCTTTCATCTTAAAGTGGACCTATCATGCTATATTTAAATGATATATTGTAGGGCCATACCTATATAAGGTATATTTATACGTTTCTGTTTTCAAAATACCAAACAGATCATGCATTTTAGCCATGCCTCATTTCGCACTATGTGCTGTTTGCTGTCTACGGGGCTGATCTCTGTGAGCTGCAGCTGACCACGCCCCCCTGCAGGAGAGGGGAGCCGTGCTCTGATCAAGTCAAGAGGGGGAGAAAAAAAGATCTCCGTCCTCCGTGTTTTATTATATAGAGTCGTTATTCATTTGTTTTAAAGCTCAATAAATAACAAAGAAGACCTTTGACCGGCACTTTTCTAATTTTGTCCGGAAGATTTAAACTTTAACGGACATCTTGACCGGCGAAAGAAACTGAAACTGAAACTGAAACTCTGCCGCACGGTCCCCTCGTTCCTTGGAAGAGGCGGAGAGGTGGGTGTTTGTCATCTGCTGGTGGACTAACCAAAGAGAATTACAGTGCTTGCCTCGACGGGGAGGGATTGCATTGAATTAAAGCAGGGGGAGCAAACGCTTGCCTCGGGGAGAGAGAAAAAAAGCCACAGCGGAGAATAAACAGAAGGGTAACCATGGTAACTATGGGCGGGAAGTCTTCTTCGCTGCTTTTGTGGCAGACTACAGCGCCACTTACAGGCCTGCCATATGTACTACAGCGTCTCCAGCGCTTTCGAGCGGCAATGGCCGGCCGTCCCAATGCCGCCGCCACCCCCCCCCCCCCGCTCAGGCAGCACCCCCCCGAGGCAGTAAACCTAGGGGAAACACTGAGCATCTTTTCTTCAATCTGTGTCAGAGCACATGGGAAGGAGATGGGCAGATGAGAGAAAGGGGAAGCAGTGACCAGAAAGTACCACAGAGTGTACCAGAAACGGGAACTGCCTCTCGTCATGTGCTGGTTTGTAGGGAGATTACTGGAAATAGAAGGGTTGGTAGGAAATAGCAAAAAAAGAGTGGTGGTGAAAGCCAGTGAGGACAGGATGCTTGGTGGTTTGTGGGGCAGACCCAGAGGCCTGCTAGATTAGTCAAGTGGGTCCGCTAAAGAAACATGCTAGTTGGAAGAGATTTCACAGCACTAAAGCATTTGAAGATAGTTAAAAGTATCGGAAAGCATCCAGTTTCAACCTGCAAAATGAGCTAGTCATTGAAAAGAAAAGAGAAAGACAGATGCCTTCCTTTGACTAGATGGTCAAACATGGACCTGTGAGTAAATGCACTGTATGAACAATTTGAGAAAATAAAAATTATGCAGACAGAACCACACGCTGTGCTACTCACTGAACAGGTTACATGGTGCATCCTGCTCTCAAGGGCTATCTCAAAAACAAATAGGTCAGACGTAATGGATCTGCATCATGGCCTGGGACTTTTGAAGACTCCAAAGGCCTACAAACCATTTAGCAAATCCATGATCCTGCAAAAATGCTGCTGCATATCACAGTATAACTAAATGCATTACACTCTACTTAAGCAGTGTAGCGATAACAGGTCATGAAGCCAATATACGGACAGGTGAGGATGCGATTAAAACCTGAACACAGAGATGGCGGTCTAGAGATTCACAGGACAGGGCAAAGGGGGAAAGGGGCTCCAGGGGCTCTGGTTACTGGTAGTGATGATGAGTCAGCAACACCCTGGGGCCCCCAGGCTAAAAAACAATGGGCCCCAGTGTGCAAGAAACATTGACAAAACCTATCCTCTTTTCAGCCCTCCCCCTCACTTTGCATCTCTCGCTCTCTCTCTCTCTACATCTGTTGTTCATTTGTTCTCTCACTCACTGGCAGAGAACAAGGAATGTTAATTAAAGGCTGTGAGAACCAGGAGGAAAAAAGAAGGGCTCATAGGAACACAAAGGGGGAAGATAGAAAGCAGAGAATGGCTTGTGTCACGATGGCTAGGTAACAGTGGAGATAGAGAGATGAGATGTGTGACACAAGCAGTGGCCAGGAAATTAATGAATGGTACAGAAAGAGAGAGGGAAATCTACAGATGTTTATTGTGTTGCGGGTGGGTGGGGAGTTCCCGGAGAATTGACTGAAGGATACAATTACATTATATAAGTACTAGGAAAGCTTAAGCAATGCAGACTTTTGTCCTCCACCCTTTTAAATTACAGTTCAAGTGCTCACTGGGTGTTGCTCTTTTGCCATGCATTGCAAATGTGTTTTTTGTTATATGTGTGGAGGTATTTGGTTTTGTTTCCTTGTGCTCAACTCATTAAATCAATATTAGCACCATTAATTATGGGTCAATCGTGAAGAAGATGTTTTGCCAAAGCAGTGTATAAACCTTTATATATACAGTCTATGGTATAAACAAAGAGCTGTGAGGGTGTGTGAACGAGATGTCAAACAATACCTTCCAGTTGGCCAGTTCCTGGAACTCAATAATCTTGATAAAGCCTCCCATTAGAATCCCTGGAGAGAGAGAGGAGAAACAAGAAACAGCATCACTGTTTACATATTTGACTACTTCATATCAACATTTCAATACAAGCAGAGTAAAGACTGAGTTAATACATGTGGCAAAGTTCTTTTTTTAGTTCTCAAATTTAAAACAATTCTTGAAAATATCCACCATAGTTCAGAGATAAAAGAGATATGAAGAGCGTAAAAGGGCTATTATCTTAGTTTTGTCTTCGAGAAATTCCCCTTGGGCATTAAGCATTAAGCTATCTTGTTACGTAGGTCGCCAGAAAATGAATTAAAAGTGCAAGACACAAAGAAGTATAAAAGGGCAAGAGAGGGAGAGACAGACAGATACGATGGAAAAAGAAAATCAAGCATAAGCATAAAAGCATTGTGTAAGAGACCCAAATATACCGGCAGACAGAAGGGTATAGTGGAGAGGATGCAATACAATGAGTGAATGAGAAAGAGGAAAAGATGAGGAAAGAAGAGCAGACGTCCTGATCAAACCCCCTTACTCCAAACACGGAGACAAGCTTTGTCTCATGTGCAGTATGCAGGTCAAGCAAAAAGTGAAAGGCCTTGAGGGTCAAGACAGATGTGTGTCTGTGAGTTTGAGTGTGTTTAACTGCACAAACAAGTCAATTCTTAGAATTAACCTCAAGTGACCTCACACAAAAACACAATACATATCTTTTACAGCAAAGCACTTCCTAAATCTTGGATAAGTTTGCTAATTATAGATAGGCCTTTGTCCATCTAAAAAAACACATATTTTACTCGGATAAAAATAATATTAGTACTGTAACCTTAAAGAGGTCTATATGTTCCTACGTTGATATTAAGTGTTATTTTTAAAACACAAAGCTATGTGTTACTGTGGTTATTGAAAAGCGCTATATAAGTAAAAAAGTTAGATTGTATTTGATTTAAATCCCTGCTGGATGCACACACATTTTCTAATAATTTGTTGAAGTTTCAATGACCCACATTATATGCAAGAAAGAAAGACAAGGAAGAGCAGTAAAAAGCGAAATGTGTTCTTCATGAGAACAGGCGTCACATTCATTTTGTATTGATGCTAAGAAAATGAGGCTCAACATTAGTTTGCGGTTCTCAAATTGTTCGCCACCTTTTAAAAAATAGGTTTCCTAGAGAGCTCTTAAAACATTTGGCATTCCTTGACTAAGCATGTGCCGAGAAACACGTTATATAAGGAGTACTCACCGAGGGAGACAACAGCCACACTTTCTGGAAGAAAATGCAGTTTGAACTTGATGAGCAGGTGCACCAATATGATGCAGATACCTGGGGTGAATGGGAAGAGCAAAGAACACTGAATGAATATTTAGGACAAATACATCTCTGTCATGTCCCAAACATCATGTCACACCAGATCAACACAAAAGTAGCCACCACATCATACAGTGTTAGGATCATTTATATGGCTTCTTTCCTTCAAAAAAACTACTGTGGACTGGACAGGAATGTCATGTAACTCTAACTGTATTTCCTCTTATTGAACATTGAAATGGTTACTTAAACTCAAATCTAAGTCTTTGAAAATATGTAATGCAAATGAGTTAACTTGTTTGACATATAATGACCACAAAGCAGTTGCTTGACATTTATAATTATAGTTCTGACCCTGTACAATCAAAGATAATTGAACCCAATAAAAACATGAATGAGGTTACAGTAGAAGAGGAAATCATGTACAGCATATTAAAGGTCAAAATCAGTGCATGGGTATATTAGCAGATTAAAATGGCAAATCCAAAGGCCACAACAAAGTGAAGGAAACACCAGCCATTCACACATGTGTCAGAAATGCAGTGCTGAAAAATTAGATGATCATAAGACCCAGTGTATGCAACACTAAAGCCATCAGAGGTCAAATCAACAAAGAGAGTTTTGTCATAAGACAGATGTTTGATTCAGACCCAATTCAAATACAAAAGTTAATTGATAATGTCCAAAGCGTGGTATCTGGGAAAAATCTTTACAAAAAGATTCTGTATATAATGTGGTTTCTATATTGCACTCTGAGGTGGCCTCTCATGTATTGATCAATACCTTTTGACTCAAACCACTGATGAAATGGTATTACCTTTAGAGACAAATTACTATGGTGATTTCTATGTTGTGCTTCTCAAATGTTTATAACGTTAAAGCATTTGGTTCAAGACCAAGACATGCTAACCTGCTTATATGTCTAAAAAGTAAATTAGTCTTATTGGTAACCTCATGCATGATTAATGCCACTTTCCTTGAAAATACCCTTACAGCGTAAGCATATGACTGAGGCCTAGGCTCCACGGGAACGAAAACGGGTTGAATCCGCATATTTCTCTTGCGTATAGCCCTTTAAGCTAGACGACGCCGTAACGGAACGGTAGAAACGGACCCTGCAAACGACAACGGGTCCAAAGGTGGATAGATCTGGGAACGGAGCGCTCTGGGGGGTCCAACGGGGCCGTGTGGTAGCCTATACGGTCATCCGTTTCTGATAATGACGACGCAATAGCCCCGCCTCTCCCCACCTCTGCTGCTCACCCCCGCAAAAGTACACTGCACACTGAATTCAGATTATTTATCTTTATCTCGATATGGACATAAACGCGAGTGAAGTCTAATCTGACAGGACGGAGACACGCAGCTCCTCCCGCTGTGATGCAGCGGGAGGAAAACACACACTTCAAGTCAGATCATCACCCTTAGCTATTTTAATTACCTCTCAAACTACCTAAACTAGTTATAAACATGTTTATCTTTACTGTCGGGTTTACTTACTGGATCAGCTGCTGCATGAGGAAGCATGAAGATTTAAACTTTAACACACGTTGACCGGCGAAAAACTCTGCGCGGTTCCCTCGGCCCCCACCGCGGAGAATAAACAGAAGTGCAGCCATGACAACCATTCTTCTTCGCTGCTTTTGTGGAGGAAGTTACAGCGCCACGTACAGGTTCGGCATATGTACTGCAGCTTTTGGAGCAGGTTGGATGTAAACGGAGCTGTCTCGTGTAGCTTGACACAATCCGGTGTATATTGCGTGTGGGCGGAAGCTTTTTGGCGTTTGCGTTTGCGTTACTCCTATGCGTTTTGCCGTATGCGTTCCCGTGGAGCCGGGGCCTTAACCTGCAGTCAACTTAAGTGGATAATGAGTACTTTGTGTCTTAACTAGCTCTTCGTGACCTTACACATACTGTTGTATGTATGTTAATGTTTAACCCACGTCCTCTCCTTCATCCTGAATCACTTCACACACATCTGATTTAACTAATCCCTATATTAGATGTACAATTTCCCTACATTCTAAGCTGTATGAGGTCTAGTTTAAATATATTGTGTGAACAACAATGATCACATTTTTCATTGTGGATTATTTGCTTCTTCCTTTCAATCCTGTGTTCTCAGAATTAAAATAGACTAGATTCCTTTTATAAATGTATTTATATGTGTATGTCTTTATAAATGTATTTGTATGTGTATGTGTTTATAAATGTGTGAGGACTTTATGCTGCCAGTAATAGATGAAAAAACCAATATGATACAAAAGACTGAGTTAGACAGACATTCACCAATGCAGCAATATAAAGTCTACTAACCAATAACCAGCAGGCTGAAAAAAATGGTCAACCCGCTGGACTGCTCTTCTTCTTGGGCCTTGACCCCTGTCTGCACAGGCAGGATAGGCTTGGCGGTAGGGGGTGTCGGGGTCGTTGGCTTGACAGGAGGTTTTGTAGAGTGGAGGGTTAGGTTGCTGTAGTTATCAGTGTCATTGGACTTGCTGCTTGACAGTCAGGAAAAAAATTATAGCCATATAATGAATCAATAGATTTTAAGAGGGCTCTGGTTACAATATTCACAGATCACAGAATTTACCATTATGTTATTTTTAAATCACTGCTGAACAATTAATCATAATGATGTACTTTTATAATAGTAGGATGTGTAATAATTAAAGGATTATGTTTCTTAATACGTGCCGTATTAAGAAACATAATCCTTCAATTACACCTTACCCATCCTACAACCTTTTATAATAATATTAAGGTCAATTAGATGTGTACTAGTTCATTTCGTTATAACATCATTTAACACTAACTTACCTTAATGATAAGATCATAACACCTGACAACACTAGAAAGACTATAGGCAACTATATCAAGATGTATATTAGCTAGACTGCAGTGACGCGACATTTGAAACCTGTGTAACATCGCAAACATTTTTGAAGCTATTGCTAGCTAGCTACAGTACAATGGGCTAAATGACTCCGAGGAGAATACTCAAATCAATAGTTGTTGCGTCCAACCTGAGAGACTGTCCCTGCTTCTGTGGGTCGATTGAATCGTGTCCATCTTCTTGGTCATGTTTTATTAATGTTTGCTGGCTTTTAGCTGGAATATCCTTATGGTTCACATCCACTCGGTCCTCTCCATCACGCAGGTCCAACAAGTTGTCCCTCTCAGCTCGCTCTGGCACACACGGATTTACACATAACAGCAAAAAGGACAGCAACAAAACTTTGTGGTTAACGCCTCTCATTCTCAAACAGGTGCATTTAAACCCAAAAGCAACGTTTTGAAATAAAAAAGACTGGAAGTTCCATGTCGACAGCTCCATGTATCTGTTGACATCACATCACTTCCTGGTTCAGGGTGTATGTTGGGAATTGTAGTCTTTACGTTGCAAGAATGACAAGAGAGAATAGCAAATAAACAAAGGGATGCAGTTAGTTGCAATTTTTTAAGCAAATATAGATACACATTTATGTCACAGTGGATAATATTTATTTTAATGGTATGAAACATGTTTCGAATGTCGATGGTTTACAGTTATCTCTCTGTACTCCATTTCCCATGAGCAATTGTAGTGTAGCGTCATCCGTCCACTCAGTCTTCTTCTCCCTATTTTTTTTTTGGTTTTATGAAGGGTGTAAAGCTTATTATACATCCATGGTGTAAAGTACACCTGCTGTTACATAGGAAATTGTGGTTTTATTGTACCCTGTACTAGCTTTAAATAACTTGAAGATCTAGGAAACACAAAAACACCTGCCATCTTGTAATGAGGTATATTAGATAGGTGCAAAGAAAGAAATGGGCAAATGTAAACGTGTAACATACATATTCATTGTTATGAAGGCATACATAAATAAATAGGCCTCTACTTCAAAATCTTAATCATACATGGGCAGGTTTACATTTCTCATTGTATACCTTTACCAAAGCTTTGGAATTGTCTGAATTCCATTGTTAATATATGTAAACCTTACACAGGGAAATACAACCTGAAATACATGCTATGAATCAAATACAAATCAATATAATAGTTAATTTTTTACATTTTCTTATATAAACTTTATGACATGAATGGGATTGTCTTTTACTGTCTAATTGAATAATCCTCAGGATAAAATAATTAGGACAAAATGTAATAGGGTGCTGAGTGGCCTATCGTCGGTAATCTAAAACTAAATTAGATATGGTCAATCTGTAGATAAATTAGCTGGTAATATTTAAGTGTATGCTTTAGATTCGATAGATTAGCTTTACTTTATTGATCTCAATTAGGGAATTGTTTTCGATATAAACAAGGCATTGCACATCATTTGAAAAGGAAAAAAAGAGTAGAAAATAAACAAACATAAATATAAACATCTAAAAATTAAAAATAAAACAGAATTAAAAAGTAAAACATACAACATAATTTTATATATGTATATTTGTATATTTTACATATATATATATATATTATAATAATATATATATATATATGTAAAATATACTTTATAAAAGGGCCAATTACAGCTAACACAATTATCTGTCATAATTAGTCATATGTGACCTGAGGCCTGTACTACGAAGCCGGATTTTCGCTTAGCGAGCTAACTTCAGGGAAAACTCTGGATGTCCGGTCCTACGATGCTGGTTCACTTCTTAGCGGGCTAGATCTCCACGGTAACTTATGCTGAACGGCTAGCCTGCTCCGGAGCAGGTTAGGTTCCAGGATAAGAGATCAACTCAGTGAAAGCACCGCCTGCTGACCAATCAGAGCTCAGTGTGCGGAGTTTAAAGCGATCAAGTCATATTACAGGAGAAAGGAAATACAGTTTAAACTGCCGTTGCAGGAAAGACTGCCGGCAAAAATCACAGACTGTGTGAACGTGAAAATGAATGGAATATCACCTCCCATCTTCAGAGCAATCTGACTATTATAACATTAGCGTTAAGAAAGCTTAATTAAATATCTGCCAGAACACAAGTAACCGGATCATAGTAACATTACGTACAGTCCACGGCACTGCGAGTGCAGACGTCGATGTGTCCCATTATCATTCATATCACATCATATATCACATCATAATGTATATATTTCCTTATCTGAGTCAGTTTATTGAGCCGTATCTGGCTGTGCAACACTCACAGTGTCACATACTGTATGTAGAAGTATTATTTTAAGCAACACATTAAGTTGACAAAACACTCGAGTCAAATGTAATTAAAGTCAGATCGTGTCTTAGACGGGGCAGTGATATCATAAACCTGTTAATGCACGCATTCAACCCCTTTTTATTTTACCAGCTGCATTCACCTTGCAGGTGCAGCTATGTGGCTTTTATCCTGGATAAAGTGTCATGGATGTTTAAAGTTTAACTTCTTCATATGTCTAATATTATAGTTGACTTTTCATTCAGGAAGTATGACGCTGCACTGTCAGTACGCTTGTCCATGTTTGTGATTGGTCGAATGCTCCAAATACCACCCCTCTGAACGCGCACCTAACTAGATAGGACACGGCTGGCTTGAGCGATCCACTTGATAACCCGCGTCGTAGGACCGTTTAGCGAGAGCGCGTATGTTTTGGATTAGGCCAACCGGCTAACTCAAACATATCCAGGTTATGGTGAACCGGCTTCGTAGTACAGAGAACAGGCCTCAATGAACGTTTTCAATGAACTTAAAATGAATAGAATATCACCTCCCATCTTCAGAGCAATCTGACTATTATAACATTAGCGTTTGTTAAACTAATAAAGTATGCGCAGTCATTTTTCTTCTCTCATCCATTTATTCAGGGACATGAACCAGCATGGCAGTGCTGCGTAATCAACATGAGACATATAGCGCTCCGCGCTTATCATGCTTATGACGTCACAACGGGACGTACCATTAAACATGGAGTAAGGGTGCTATTACAAAGTAATACTTAACATATCACCTCCCATCTTCAGAGAAATCTGACTATTATAACATTAGCGTTAAGAAAGCTTACTTAAATATCTGCCACAACATAAGTAACCGGATCAAAGTAACATTACGTAGCCTAGTCCGCGGCACTGTGAGTGCAGACGTCGATGTGTCCCATCATTCATATCACATCATATCACATCATAACGTATCATATATTTCCTTATCTGAGTCAGCTTCTTGAGCCGTATCTGGCCGTGCAACACTTACAGTGTCACATACTGTATGCAGAAGTATTATTTTAAGCAACACATTAAGTTGACGAAACACTCGAGTCAAATGTAATTAAAGTCAGATCCACTCGTGTCTTAGACGGGGCAGTGATATCATAAACCTGTTGATGTACGCATTCAAACACTTTTTCTTTTACCAGCTGTATTCACCTTGCAGGTGCAACTATGTGGCTTTTATCCTGGATGAAGTGTTTAAGTCATGGATGTTTAAAGTTTAACTTCTTCATCATACGCGCGCCACTCTCGCTAAACGGTCCTACGACACGGGTTATCAAGTGGATCGCTCAAGCCAGCCGTGTCCTATCTAGTTAGGTGCGCGTTCACATGAAAGGGGTGGTATTTGGAGCATTCGACCAATCACAAACATGGACAAGCGTACTGACAGCGCAGCGCGTCATACTTCCTGAATGAAAAGTCAACTATAATATTAGACATATGAAGAAGTTAAACTTTAAACATCCATGACTTAAAGGGGACCTATCATGCAAAATGCACTTTTGTACGTCTTTTATACATGAATATGTGTCCCCGGTGTTCCAGGGAACTCACCAATGCCCCTTTCACACCGGCGCTTTTCCAGCTCCTGCTGGGAGCTAGAGCCTGAAAAGCGCCGGTTTTTCCTGTTCACACCGCAGCGGCGGCGCGTCATAGCTCCGGAATGCGGTTCACTTCCAGCTCCAAAAAGTTGTCGGTCCAGAGGCAAGAGCTTTGGAGCTATGACGCGGCGTCGCTTACGTCCGTCGAGGCGGAGGCGGGGGCAACCTTTTGGGTATGCACTATTTTTATAAGAATATTGTTCATACCTGTTTATCTGTTTACATTCTGTGATTTGTATACAAAAGAAAACACAATTCAAGTCTGATCCAGTGATTTTATTGTAAGAGGCATGATACAAAATAGATCAGGTTTAACTGCAGTAATATTAGTGGTCCCCCATGTTGAAATACTCCATCAATGCAGATCTAATGTCAGCTCCTTCTTGTCTACCGTTCTCTGGAAAGGGGTGTAAAGGGGGTTGGTTGTACACAACTTCATGGCAATATTCAGTCGTCCCTTGAAAAGTCGTCCGATGCCTTCCATTTCGTCTCGTAAGAGGATAACCACAGCGAACAGCGCTTCAATACAATCGGCCATTGTTGTTGTGATTTCCGCACGGTTTGGGTTTTAGGAAGCAGGCACGTAAACGGTTACGTCATGACGCAAACGATGAGGCAATGACGCAGTACCATTCCGGCTCTTGAGCGGTGTGAGCGGTGTGAACAGAGCGGGAGCTGAAAAGGGAAACGGGAGCTGAACCAGAAAAGCTCTCGCGAGGAGCTAGAAAGTGAAAAGCGCCGGTGTGAAAGCCGTACAAGCGTCAGAAAACACAACCCTCTCTATTTTCCTCCATACCCAAATCTCTAAAAAAAGGGGCTGCAACGGGTCTGATAAAAACTGATCCACATTTGAACACTGTCCTGACGTCAGGACAGTGGCGCTACGGCTATTGGGCCAACTCCACCAATCAGGAGGAGACAGCCACGGCCATTGCCGTTCGAAAGCGCTGGAGACGCTGTAGTAGATATGCCAGGCCTGTAGATGGTGCTGTTCTCACAGAATCTGCCCTTGCAAAAACAGAGCTAAAAAATGTCAAATTGAGCAAAATGAGGCATGGCTAAAATGCATGATCTGTTTGGTATTTTGAAAAAAGAAAAGTATAAATATGCCTTATATAGGTATGGTCCTATACTATATTATTCAAATATAGCATGATAGGTCCACTTTAAACACTTTATCCAGGATAAAAGCCACATAGCTGCACCTGCAAGGTGAATACAGCTGGTAAAAGAAAAAGTGTTTGAATGCGTACATTAAAGGTAGGGTAGGTAAGTTTGAGAAACCGGCTCGAGATCGCTAGAATTTGAAAATACACAACTATAGAGCCCCTCCTCCAACACGAACGTGCACATGACCAATGAGGGCACGAGATAAGTTTGTGCACAGATGGAAGGCTGACAGGCAGGTAGGCCATCCAGTTATTTTAGCCGGGCCGGCTAAAATGATTGGTCGTACTTTTTACAGTATTACGGCTTCCACAGATGACATTTTTTAATGGATTTTTCTTAAGATATTCATTGCTATCGGGATGTTAAGAGCATTCCATGGAATATAACAAAAAATGTATTGTGATTATTAGCGAATCGGTTGCAAGTGGGTGAAATCAGGCTTAGGGAGTAACGTATTACATGTAACGGCATTAGGTCATCAGGATACAAAAAAGGCAAATGTGTTCCCAAATGTATCTCGAGCCGGTTTCTCAAACGTACCTACCCTACCTTTAACAGGTTTATGATATCACGATCTGACTTTAATTACATTTGACTCGAGTGTTTCGTCAACTTAATGTGTTGCTTAAAATAATACTTCTGCATACAGTATGTGACACTGTGAGTGTTGCACGGCCAGATACGGCTCAAGAAGCTGACTCAGATAAGGAAATATATGATACATTATGATGTGACATGATGTGATATGAATGATAATGGGACACATCGACGTCTGCACTCACAGTGTCGCGGACTGTACGTAATGTTACTTTGATCCGGTTACTTGTGTTGTGGCAGATATTTAATTAAGCTTTCTTAACGCTAATGTTATAATAGTCAGATTGCTCTGAAGATGGGAGGTGATATTCTATTAATGTTTACGTTCACACAGTCGGTGATTTTTGCCGGCCGTCTTTCCTGCAACGGCAGTTTAAACTGTATTTCCTTTCTCCTGTCATATGAATTGATCGCTTTACACTCTGCACACTGAGCTCTGATTGGTCAGCAGGCAGTGCTTTTATCCTGAAACCTATCCTGCTCCGGAGGCTAGCCGTTCAGAATAAGTTATCTAGCCCGCTAAGAAGTGAACCAGCGTCGTAGGACCGGAAATCCAGGAAGTTAGCTCGCTAAGCGAAGATCCTGCTTCGTAGTATAGACCCCTGGTTAGCCGCTCAGCATAAGTTACCATGGAGATCTAGCCCGCTAAAAATAGAACCAGCGTCGTAGGACCGGAAACCCAGAGTTTTCCCTGAAGTTAGCTCGCTAAGCGAAAATCCGGCTTCGTAGTACAGGCCTCAGGCCTCTGCTCTATCGAAATCAGTCGCATTGACCCGAAGACACATTTTGAGTTGTAGGCTATACACCAGGCATCCTCAAAGTCCGGACTCCGGTCCGGATCCGGACCGAACCACAACCGTCTCTGGACTCTGAGCAAATTATACTTTTCATATGTATTATCTGTATTATCTGTATTATCTGTGTTATCTGTGTTATCTGCGAGACATCGCCACAACGCAACGAGTCAAAATTCTCCGCTATGTCCACTTGCAAACAGCGCTCTGCATCTCCGACTGTTCCACTGTCTGTGTGTGTCTGTCAACGCATTGGTCCAATCACATTCAGCATCCCGTCAGCGTTTTTTCCCCCCACCAACAGTCTGCGAATCAGAGGCACAGTAGGGCGGGTCTTCGCGGAATGCGGGTGGGAAAAATGCGTGTGTCGTCTCTTTCAACCTGTCTGAGTCAGAGCGAGAGTTAACAGCTCATCTAGTTGCATCTGTACTGTAGCTAGTAGCCTAGTTTCACCTACCGGGGTGGCATGGGGTGGCAACTGCCACCCTAAAAATAGGCCTTGGCACCCCAGCTGCCACCCCAGTTGGCAGCTTTGTTTTGAAAGAAAAGTTGTGGCTCATCTGACATTTATGAGAGAAAGTGTCTAATGTCCGAGTGCAAGTGAATGCAGCACAAGATGCACGTCCCCTCCCCCGGCCCTGGCGCGAGCGTGGAAATAATGATTGACCCAAGTACTGAAGGAATGAGGTATTTGCGGTCTACAATGACAGAGAAGAGACTGTCAAGTGTGGCTGTACTCAGCATTGAATCAAAACGCACTAAAGCTTTGGATCTTACTAATTTTGTGAGGCGTTTTGCTGAACAAAATGGTAATCGCCGCATTCAGCTGTAATAGACATGTCAACTTGATGCTCTGCTCACGGATGAGCATACAACACTGTTAAGATGATGACCTTACGTGTGTAAATATTTTTTTTTCTTTGTGGGGGTCTGACCCCAAAAAACAGTTTTAAGTCCTGAGAAAGTCAAATAAGATGGTGTGTAAAACTACACTGCCCAGCCAAAAAAAAGTAACCACTTTGATTTAACTAGGCCAGTAGGTAAGGACATTCCACTGGATAATAACTGAAGTATAAAAGAATGCATGACTGAAGTGATGGAGACCATGTTTGAAGGCAAACAAAAAGAGGAAATAACAGGTCAAATCAAGCAAATCCCCCTCTCAGATTCCACAGCAACCAGAAGAACATAAATACTGGCTGGTGATTTGATCAGCTTTGTGATGGAATAAAAAATGCACAGTGCATTTCCTTAGCTGTGGATGAGTCCACTGACACCACTGACAATGCTCAGTTGCTGGTGTTTGTGAGTTTTTATGATGAGGCAAAGGGGGAGTTTGTTGAAGATGTGTTGGGCCTGACGAACCTCAGAGTACACACAAGGGGGCAAGACATTTATAAAGCAATAATGGGAATGCTGAATGAAAGAGGGTGCAGCTGCCTTTATTCATAACTGTGCAGCTCTTACACTGCGACTCTGAGGGATCAAGCACAGACACAATAACAATGAAAACTGCTGCATACAGATTATTTTTGTTTTTGCAACCTCGTGTTAAGAATCTTGTTGCAATTGTTTAAAAGTTTGAATGACCGTAATAAACGGACCTTTGTCTTATTGAAACATTTTTTTTGGACCTAAAAGATTTGTATTTGAGTACCCCTGCTATACACTATTGGAAAGAGGAGATTCCTAGCTTTCTAATGATATCACTATCAGGATTGTTGTTGTAGGCTACTCCAAATATTAAGCGAAATATGTCACATTATATAATGACTATATCACCGAGTCATCATTTTGAGAAAAAGGCCTTCAAAGTTTCCTCTTCTCTGGAATCCATCGATCTGATTGATTATTAGCGGAGCAAATGATCAAAGTAGTACGGAGGGGAAATAATTTCGTTTGGATTACTGGCATGATTACTGGTATGGGGGAAGCTCGCGAGTGTGTGTGTAATTGTGTATGTATGTGTGTGTTTGTGTATTTTTGCGTTTGTGTGTATTGTGTTTGTTTACCGGGGAAAACACTCACGAGAAACACCGGCTGTTGTTATGCCTGCTGTGACGTTAAATTACTCCGTTCTCCGCTTGTAATTATGCCGTTACAAGCTTCAAAGTTGTATTTATCATCTGAATTTGCCGAAACAAGTTTAATATTCTGAAAGCCAAGACTTTGTTTATTTGAAATCAGATGAAAACAAACTGTAACGGACCCTGCCGTGATAGATAACACGGCAGGGTCTGTTACAGTTTGTTTTCAATCATAGACTATGATTACTATACGTTTACATTCATAATTTCAGCCGGAGGGAGGGGGGCGGCGCTGAGGAAGAGCAGAGTGGCGAGTGAGAGGTGCCTGTCATCTTCCCTTTACAAGCTTCAAATATGTATTTATAGTGTGATTTTGGAAATAAAAGTTTCATATTCTGAAAGCCAAGACTTTGTTTATTTAAAATCAAACAAAACACCCAAACCCAGAAAAAAATCCAAATCCACGTTTATTTTGAAATGAGCCGTTGCTACTTCCGACTGATTTCGATAGAGCGGGTCACATATTATATCTTACCCCATGTTATCCTGTAATGCTAATTAGCTAGTTTATGATCAGGCCACACAACGTTAGACGTCGCAACGGTTGGAAAAGTAACGTTCCTAAGGTTACGTTCTCAACGTTGTGGGCACGTACTTGTTTTGTCCGGTACCGTTAACGCCCACTTTAGATATTGCTCATTTTGCGGAGAGGCGGCTGCCCCACTCATAGGGCTAGAAAGCAGGCAGGCAAACCGCAGGAGCGGCCAAAATACCATCATCGACGTAGTGTGTGAGACAGATGATGTTCTCTCACTGAAAATACCAGGCCAGGTTGAAAACTGCGCTATCATTGGAAGCCGTTCCCGAAATCGGACACACCCCAACCAAAATCGTAAGCAGAAATGAGATTTGAATGTCTTGATTGAATACTGGAGGTACTCTCCTGTGCTCGACCTGCCGCGGAAATAGACTGACTTCCTTGTCGCCTGTATCCTCATCGCTGCCGCAGACCGGCCACTCTACTCGGCTCATTTAACACAGGCTGTCCGCGGACCACTGGCTTCGGCATCTGGACACATCGAAACGGGTCTGTCGTCGTTGAAGATACGGGAACGTGCCTGTGTGCGGGTTTTTTTGCCTGTATAATGCCGACACATTTACGATTCCGGAAAAGGTCATTCCTTGGGCTTTTATTCCTATTTTCGCTGTCCACCTCCGCATTGTACTTCATCTACTCCGCCCCCGGAATCGGTAAGTGAAAACACGCTGATGCTATTATATTAAACACTTAAAAACGTTAGGATGAAGTGAGGGTGTTTGTATGGGCTGTGAGGTCATGTGTGACAGCTTGGGAGTGTAGACAGGCAGAGGGGCCATGCGCCTCTCTGCTGAGCCTGGATCTTTTCCAATCGATGATGAGACTCAACTGGATGCTGGAACTCTATCCTATAATATTCATGTACCTGACCATGATAATAATAGGGCCACTGGTGAGCATCATGGCTGGTGTTATTATGCTGGTGTTAGCAGGCCTAACAGCTATGATTATGTGCTTTTACTAACGACTATGGATACAGGAGAAATGTGGCATTTTGCCTTTGATTTTAGGTTTATCGTTGGCATCCATATAATAGTCAAAGTTGTGTTGATTTCAGTATCCTCCCCCTGTCTGTTTTTGGTGGGGGCAAAGGTCACGTTATGAGTCATGGAATCATAGGCCTAAATGACATTTGCATAGAAATCAGCGACAAACATCCCTCATCATCATTATTACCTGTAAGTCTCATGCTGTTGTGCAAAATCACATGTCTTGAATCCCTGATATCATTAACTCATTATGTGTCTCATCACCATCCCATCCCCTCTTATTTATTGAAAGTGTGTGCGGACATGTGTCACCTCAGTCTTTCTTTATTATCTGTGGTCTCACCCATGTTTTCTTAAAGACCTTTTAGCTCAGGGTAGTGGTCCACTTATCCTATCTGGCTCGATATGTAGGGCCTTCATGCTTGCTATTTTTAGCCATTATCACCCATGTGATGCCCAAACATCAGTCACTTATCGTAGCTTAATTGACCATGCTTATCATGATCCATAGCACTTATTGTAACATTTGGACTTTCAACTAACTTTGTCCTTGACTCTGTTCCAACCAATTCTGCTATTGTTTAACTTTCCACTGAGTGGGTGTAAACTTGAAGAAAGTGCAAACTAGTAACAATAACATGGTTACCTATTCTCTTTAACTGTAGGTAAAGTTCAAAAGGAACAATTTCTGGAAACATAGGGTGCAGTAAAAGTTGGCTTCTGGTACCTTTTCCTATTCACTACTTTAGCCTACATATCCTGTTGTGCTTGCTTAACAGACAGCTTGGTAAGGTGGGGCTTCCTTGAAACATTTATGAAAAACAATCCAATCCATACAAATCCAAAGTAGCTTTAATCATTTGAGCCCTCACAAAATGATAGACCAATGTTATAGACAAGAGATAAATCCTTTCACTTTTCCACACATTTGGAATCAGCATTTAAGGGCTTTTCTCTGTCAAACATCAGATCCTGACATTAATGGAGTGGGGAATGTATGTATAAATGAAATTGTGTTTATGTGTGCAGCCATTGTGTTTACAAGTGCAGCCTTTCTAAAACATAAATGAGAGCTGGTTGCTCTTTCTCATCAAAATGGTTATTGACCCATTCACGCTTTTTACCTGCTGTGGACAACTTAATCAATAATTGAATCAATTCTCATGTGGAGGACACATTACTGTCAGGAATAACCTGTGTAAGTCCCAGTAATAGTGAGCAATGATTTCTCGAAATGTGAAACAAATAAACAAATGAATCATTGAGCTGCCAGTTAAAACACAATCCTTCTTTCACTTGTTCACTATTTTTCCTGTGATGGTGTCTGGTGACTGACCGGGAGCTGCTCTTGGCCATATCTGTCCTGGTGTTGACTATTGTAGGGCTGTAATGCCCACGTGGTTTACTAAGGGTTAGTTCAGAAACAGAACAAGGACCAGCAGCACAAGTCCATTAATTATAGATGGTTACCAGAAGCAAGCCAGCTTCTGCTGCTGTTACTAAAAGCTACAATTTAGTCTTTTACACTTAGGTTGCCTAGTGGAGCAGCAGGCCAAAACGGGCACACCAGGTGGGCGTAGGATGATGGTGCGTAAAATAAATAGTTCTAATTTCTTTGACAAAAGTTGGTGTGTTTTTCTTTTAGTGATATTGATGCAGGGGCATGAGCTAATGTGTCAGATGCTGTGGTCAGAGATGCACAAGTGGGCTGCAGCCTGTGAGACAAAGACAGACAGCAGCAAATGTTGCCACAGAAACATTTTGAACCGCAGCGCATTAGCATTCGATTTAACAATCACCAACAGTATACATAATTTGAATATAGCATTTCCTATCAGACCTATTTGACAAATAAAATACTTCCTTGATGCAGATACTGTCAATTTGATAGACAAATCAAGCATCGGGTGTTGGGTACTGTTTTTGTGTGAGTCCTTTGTTGGCTACCCTTAATTTTTATCTGACAAAAAACAGCCGCACCGGGACGTCTTGATCACAGCCTAAGCTTATCTTATGCACCAATATAACTTCCTAAAATAAATGTAAACCATCATACTGTATGTCTTAAAATCCGCTCTATAGTGGGCCTCAGAGATGCCAAAGAAGCCTTCACATTATTTCCCTTTACTGTTGCAGCTACATTCTCTATAATCCAAGCAAGAGTGTATTGTATTATTCTAGGTTTCCCTATTGCCCTTCTTATCTTTATGCATCATGTGAAGATGAAAGTTAACAACACATTCTCCCATTTGATGTCTTTTTTAGCATTGGATTACATCTTTTTTTTGCCAATAATGTGTTAAATATAATATTGCATGATGGCACCCACACTTTGAAGATTTGCTAAAGGGATCATATAAGATGGGACACTGCAAATAATTAGCAGAACAACTGAGCAAGAAGTGGTAACCTAAAGATGGAAAGGGCAAGAAATAGAGAAGGAAGGATGAAAGGCATGAGCCTAGCTCTCTTCCTTCTGCTGGTTTGCACATCGGGGAACCCATTCATAACACCTGAGCAGGGCTTCCTATGATACCCAGGTGGCTTCAGTGCAGAATGCCCCAATTTCACAGCTAAGTCTTTTCTCAGACTTTCACACTCTCTCTTCCCATCTGCCTCTGTCTCACTCTTGGTTTCTCTGTCTCTATGTACTCATATGCATCAACACCCCAGCCTCTATGTTGCCCCCCAGCATGGACACTGACTAGGCTGGGACGAGACAGGCTATTTATACGTTTAGTATACAGATGGTGTGTGTGTGTGTGTGTGTGTGTGTGTGTGTGTGTGTGTGTGTGTGTGTGTGTGTGTGTGTGTGTGTGTGTGTGTGTGTGTGTGTGTGTGTGTGTGTGTGTGTGTGTGTGTGTGTGTGTGTGTGTGTGTGTGTGTGTGTGTGTGTGTGTGTGTGTGTGTGTGTGTGTGTGTGTGTGTGTGTGTGTGTGTGTGTGTGTGTGTGTGTGTGTGTGTGTGTGTGTGTGTGTGTGTGTGTGTGTGTGTGTGTGTGTGTGTGTGTGTGTGTGTGTGTGTGTGTGTGTGTGTGTGTGTGTGTGTGTGTGTGTGTGTGTGTGTGTGTGTGTGTGTGTGTGTGTGTGTGTGTGTGTGTGTGTGTGTGTGTGTGTGTGTGTGTGTGTGTGTGTGTGTGTGTGTGTCGTATGTTTCTTGTGAAGCAATGCAGTCAGACAGTTGGCAAGTACTGTACAAGTTAATCAGGGGGATTTAAGAGTTGCTTCAGAGCCTCAGGTATAAATATGAAGCAATACAAAGGTGAGGTAACTGTAAAGGCCCTGACACACCAGGCAGTCACAAGAGAACTCGCCGACACCAAACACCGACAGTTCCATCGACGAGTTCTCCTGCGTATTGGCCGTGTGTCGCACTGGAAATCACCGCAAAGACTTCAGCCGAGCACGTACGAACTGCGCATGCGTGAGTGGCAATAACTCTCCTTACCAGCAGGCGGCGGTAGTGTGTATTCGTCATTCAAAATAGGCAACAACCGGAAGACAGAGAAGAAGAACAGACTGATATAAACAAACAAATAGCGTGTGCGTTCCATTTTCACTCTCGTCCATCGAAAACATGTTTTAGAATATAAAAATACATGAATGATGAAATGAGCACATAAAGTGCAGACATACTATAAAATCACAGTTAATAGACTTGCACCTGATGATCGCAGTGTTCTGGCGGGTGTGTAGTTTATTGAGTCAGCAATGTAATAATGGCCACTTCTTGCTAAATTTACGATGAGATGAAAAACCGGACTTGACCAAACAAATCACGGAGCTCTCAGCAGAGGACAGCCGGGGACGCTCCCGCCGATATCAGAGATGTCCCTGCTATGTGTGGGAGGTAAGAGAGGACATTTAAGGGCTATGTTTGATGTCTTTAAGTATCACCTGCTGGTGTTTAGCTGCTGTCCTGTGCCTTAAATCGTTTGTTTACGTCCCTCACTTCCGTTTCGCTTCTCATTTGCTAGCTGAACAGCTGATCAGAGTGGTTTCTTGGCCCGATAGCTTGTGTCCGACACCCGGCCGATTCAACATGTAGAATCGGCCGGGTGTCGACCGTGAAAGGCCAAATAAGGCGTGTCACGGCCGAGGGTTCGGGACACACCAAATTGACTTTGGGCGACAAGGAACCCGTTGTCGCCAAACAACGCAAGACGGCCGATATCGGCCTGGTGTGTAGGGGCCTTAAGGCTACAACTAATTTGCTAACCGCAATATATACATGTTTTTATGTGCTTAATGATTACACAATTGAAGTGACCTTACCTTTGTAGCTTCTTCTCAGTTTATTGACATTCCTTATCTACCTGTCATCCTTTCCTCTATTCTAGCAAGCTTGCACACCACCAGTAAGTACACGAAGAAAGTAGCCAAAGCCTTACCATTTAAATAAACCTTCTGCTTTAACAGCCACACAATAACTTCACACCTGCAGTCCACTGGCCAGAGCAAGTTTGTTGGGTTTTGAGAGACTCTAATTGTAAATATAAAAAAGATAAGCCTCGTGCAAATTCAGTCATCAATTAATTGGTTTGCAGAATATGTTATCAGAAAATGAATATCACAAAATAGAAAATTGCGAATGTAATTTTTTTTCCAATAAAAATAACTTGGCTTTCTTAAAGGTCCCATGTCATGCTTTTCCGGTTATTACCC